GTATCTGTCAAGTTAAGCACTTCACGACTAGTACTTGGCCTGACGTGAAATCCCTGTCAAAGGAGTTGCTACCTTACTTTTACGTGCAGGCTGAACTCTGTAAAGGACATCCTGTGCCGGGGTGACAGGATTGGCATGCCGGCGACTGACATGCCGTCTTATGAATCTGGCCCACGAGTCGCGTCCAAGCATTAGTCATACCAAAGCTCGCCTGAGATGGTCTTATTGGTGGCCGTGCATGGATAGCCAAATTAAAGAACTGGTGCGCACATGTGTGATTTGCCAGTCTTGTGACAAGTCCGCACGTAACTTTTCAGCACCACCGCAACTTGTTCCTCTTCCTGACACAACGTGGGAAAAAATTGCCATCGACATTGTGGGACCTTTCGCGCAAGCTTCGGCCGACTACCGTTTTGCAAATACTGTTACTGACTATTATAGCAAGTGGCCTGAAGTGGCTTTCGTGCGAGATGCAACCATGTCTACAATGCAACCAAGTCTACAAGCACCCGCAAGTCTCCTTCATCGACGCCAACCTCGCAACAGACTTGACATAGTGAGATTGCCTGACAGATGCTTCAGCAGGGACCCATCAAGGGTGATTGAGCAGTTGCGAGAGTGCATAAAAAACAAGCCAATGATCTCAAAGAGCCACACCGATGAAAAACGTGGAGCCAAGGAACCCAGTTTCATCGTTGATGATTGTGGATGTTAAGACACCTGCATTTCATGGCAAGCTGTTCCATGGTCAGAATAACTCAAATTTTTTACACTGCACACAATGGTATAAGCACAAGAAAGTCTGCGGACACTACTTGCATTATGTTTCTTTATTGCATTATGCTCCAATAAATTACCGCTACGTATGCGAGTGCAGACATGCGAATTGTAGCGAGATAAATAACTTGGTGATCTACACACCGACACCGCGAATAATAGTAGGCACTGCATGCTCAAGAAGAAAACCGGGTCGCAGGAATGAATGGAAGTCCAGCGAGCTCTGTATTCGGAACCATTGCGCTTGTTTCTTATCTAGAAGACATGGGTCACCAAGCATACGTTTTGCTGCTACTGCATCCTTGCACAGCATATCGTTTCCTGGGGCACCGACCAAAGCACTCGGCGTTAACCCCTTAACTGCTTTAGACGAGCAGAGCTCAACCTGCCCAAACTGTCACCAAACTGCTCTGGACGAGTAGAAATCGTCCTAGGGGAATAGGTACTCCCCTCTAGTGTTCAGATAGGGAAGCACGCATTTAGGGCTTTCATAGCGTGTCATTCACCAAATGGCAGCATTTTTTCTAGGATTTATTTTTCTTCTGTGGCAGGGAGAGACGGCGTGCGTTGGCAATGACACATGCATAGCTGGTTTGCGAACTCGAAAAAAAAAAATGCTATTCGTTTTCGCGATATTCTTAGAGTTATGATGATTCGAGTAAAGATATTCATCGTGTGCGAGGGCCCGCCAGTACAGCTGCCTTGCATTATTCCGCGTTCTGAAATTTTCCACGCAGCCCCAAAGCTTCTCGAGTGAAATACCCAAAGGGTGCTTAGCCTACAGAAGTGAAGATGTGGCATCTGTAAGTGTTTGGTTTAAAAGGTTTTTACATTTTGTTAGCAGCAGGCAGCTGGTTTCAATGTATTGTTCACAAATAAACTTTATTCTGTTGATTCGACTAAGTATGTAGGAAAAATATTTTTTCAACATCAACTAGTTACTTTTTAGTACAATCAAATTCAAAATTAGCAATAAAAGAAATAAGCACATTTTTTCCGGAAATTTCAAAAAAAAAGAGCAGTTAATGGGTTAATTATAATCCGCATCTTTTTGCTGGCAGTTGGACACTGCGCTCAAGACATTCACCAACGATGAAATGCACCTTACAATTTTGTGCACGCCAGAAAACGCGAGGAAGTGCAGAACACTAAAGCATGCGAGGGGGGGCGTCTTTGCAGATGAATTTTATGAGCTTGCCTTTCCGCTCACTGCAAGGGCTGCACTGAGTAATAATAGCATGGGCAGAGGGTGCTAGAAAAAAAAATTTACATTATAATAACAAACTGTGACAAATTTTTTGCTCATTACACCTACATAATATTGTCGACGGAAAAAAAATTTTGTTTGTGAAACACAGCGATTGCTTCGACTTTGAACCAAACTTGGTTTTTCACTATTAGTGTTTGTTCCCTCTACACGTAGTCGCTCTTCAATCACAGCTGCCATAACTCTCCATGCTGTTGCCGTTGGCAATAGCTTCTGGACCACTTTTCGCCTGAACATTTGCGACCTATTTGAATAGACCTTGGGTGCATTCTGCTTGCATGCGAAGTAGGAAGAAGTGCTTCTATAGCAACCCTCCTGCTCTTGATTTTTTGTCCTTTCTCTCTATTTGGAGAGCTGACCAGTGAAGTCGTGATAGAAATTTTGTGTTCATGATTTATTTCTAGTAGGATGCCCGGCAACTGCCAATGGTAAAAGGGGTGCTGCGCCGCTGCAGAGAGCGAATACATGGGAGGTATAGGGAGTTTCCACCCCTGGTTTAAGAACATCAGGGCATTGAAATTAATCTGGCCTTCCCCACTACGGTGTACCTCACGGTTGTGTTGTGGATTTGACTTGTAAAGCCCCAGCTATATTAAATTTATGTTATTACGAAATGGTAACGACCTTTTCACGCACATGAAAGTACATGTGATCCACGACTGGCTTCTCTGGAACGAGCTCTTAAATAACAAAAAAGGCAATAAAAAAATTGAGTGGTAATGTATTCAGGGCCTCGGCCTCCAATTTGATTCGGTACTGAATTCGATTCGCTGTGCTCCTAGACACCTGGAGGTTTTCGTTATAGGAAGGGAGCCACGCTGGCTTGACACTTTGTGTTGTTGGTACTCCTGTCTTGAGAAAGTGGCCTCTCCTTTGAACTCTTTCATTCCCATTCGTCCTGCCCCGAACAGTACTGAGCCATGGTCCCATATGGGCTACAGAAGTAAGCGTCTTTCCTATCCTTAAACCACTGCTTTGGAAGCACTGCACGTCTTTTGTGTACAACCTGGTGTCTAGTAGTTGTTTGTAAAGCCTATAAAGAAAGCATAGTACAAGGTTATCTGTTGTGCCATGATACCTTTCTCACAAAAATGCACTTTCTGTGTAATCAGCTTGTTGTGAACTATGGATAAGGAGAAGGTCGTAGAATCAAGTGGAAGGGGTAGCCACATAATCCTGGGCTTAGGTGCTCCTGTGCCTGCTCATGTTTACAAAGTTTCCATACAACTAGTTACTGTATATTAATCCTTTGACCTGTTGGCTGTGTCCTCATCTCCGCAAAATGTACACAGTTCAGCAAAGTGAGGTATTGGGCTAGTTAGTCAGTTCTGCATGTTTAAACTGCACTATAGTTACAGGGACAAAAGACGCTGGAAAGACACACGTAGCCTTGTGTACCTCGTTACATGTGTCCTCCCCGAGTTATGTCCCTAACTGTAGTGCAGTTTTTATTCATAATAATAGACACTTTTGTTTCCATTACATTAAACCCCACATATCAATCAATCAATTGTTTGCATGCTCATTCACTGCATGCTTGTTTGCCCAGTTTCCTCTCTCTGATATATTTCGAAATAATTGCAGGGAGTTTCATCATTTTGTTGCCAAACAAAAATGCGTATTAAAGGGGTGGTGCCACCAAATTTGTGGCTTGCACATTCTTTGCTGCAAGCATTTCGCATAGCTCCAGGAAGCGTGATACACTCACAAATATACACTCACAAAGATTTATGTATTGTCGCTAAATAATTTATTATCACCTTATTTCTGTGGACAACTTCAACTTTCTGGCTACTGAGCCGGGCATTCGCGTAGCGGTGTGGGTGCCTTGTTCACTTGACCACACAAGGTTGTATTGCTTGTGCTGAGTATTGTCTGCTCTTGCACACACTTGCCACTAAAGCACCAGCAAAACAAATGCACCGACAGTTGCTATGGCTAGCTACAGCAGCCATGAGCAATGTAGCAACCGATGCTTTGGCCGTAGGTATGTTACGGAGGTTTGGAGGTCACTCTCATCACAACAGATCTAGCTTAATGTCACTACAACTTCCATTGCCCTTTTATAGAGCTATTTCAAGGGCTGGTCGTGATCGGGAGAATAAGCATTGAGCTAGCTACACTTTGGGACTGAATTAAAAATGTATGTATATTCTAAACGGTTCCTGTGTCTAACCCTCCGTGTGGAGTGTACTTGCATATAGAGGGAACCCGCAACAGGCATGTTATAGCCCTGAAATTTGATGGCACCACCCCTTTAAGTTTATTCAGGCTCACCTGTCGGAAAAGTATGTTAGCCAAGAGCATAAGTTATGCAGTGCTGGCCACACAAGGTGTAAAATTACAGTTTCATGGGAGGCTCTGCATGCCTTAAGTAGGTATATTTTTTTTTTGCTTTAGGGCTTCTAGCAATCTTATACCGTTTGTGTTCATCTTTACAGTCACAGGCAGCCCTCCTCTCCACATCCGTCCATCTATGATGAGGTGCTGGGACATCAGACTTCGGCTGCAAGTTTTTTACTTTCACAAGAGACTGTTGCTGCAATTCCATCGTTCACTGCAGCATATGCTAGGCTCGCAAGTGAGTCACCACTAAGTTCACCGACACCAGATGCCCCTGGAAAGTTTCCAGACCTGGCAAGAACCTGCACTACAATTACAAATGGTGAAATATACGCCGCCACCATGCCTGCAGCGATACATGCTGCAACAGTACATGCTCCTACTGCACCAGCTCTTACCATGCCTGTCTCTACCATACACAATCCGGCTGTACCTGCTATGGCTGTACTTTCTCCAACTATACGTCCTGCTATTGTGCATACTACTGGTGTGCCTGTTGCTTCAGTGTTCAACATCACTGTTGCTAGCACACATTTTTCAGATGTACCTGCTATGTTTGTACCTGCTTCTACTGTGCCAACTATGCCTTCTCCATTTGTATTTGCTCCGACAGCACATGCTCTGGGTGTACCTGCCCGTACTGCTGCTCTGCATAATCCTGACAGTGCCAACTCATACTGTGAATTCTCCGAGTGTACATACTCCAGCAGTGCCTGCTCTTACTGGGCTTAGGGCAGCTGCACATACTGCTACTGTGCATGCTTCGTGTCTACCTGCTGTTGCTGCACACCTGTTCCAATTGCTGCTACTCCAGCTGTACTTCCATGTGAACTGGCACCAAACGATAGCACAGCTGCTTGCAGTGAAACTTATCCTGCTGTGCATACTACAGCTGCAGATACCGCTCTTGTGCACAGTTCTGCTATTTCTTCAACTAGCCTGGTGTTGAATCGTGGCACAAATCCTGGCAGTGAGGAGTACACTGCTACTATGCTTGATCGTGCCACACACAGCCTAGCTGAGCCTGACCCTGCTGAACTTGGCTCCACAATTCCTGCGACAGTTTCAAAATCACTGGCATCTACACAGACACCTGCAGTTGTCCCACTAGTACAGCATCCTTCTGCTGAAGTCATTGGCACTGTTTCCGTGAAGAGCTTTGATCTAGGTGATGCATACTCGTCTGAGAGTGAATGTAACCAGAACAATTTGCCCAAGCTTGGAGCATGTGTCTCTACACTAAACCATCTCGTAACTCCTGTGTCACCCATAAAAAGCCAATATGTTCGAAAGGTGGTGGCCAGTTATGAGGCAGCGATGAAGCCCAACTTTCAGCAGCAGAAACAACCAGAGCATGCTACAAGCCCATGTACAGCATCTGCTATACAACAGCCAAGTAAACCAACGGCTGTTGAGATTCCTTTGCCTAATGCAGCTGTTGTTGGGACCACACAAGGCATTGTTATTTCTTTCTACAAGACGCCATCTGAATTTTGGATTCAGCTGGATTCTTCTGCAAACATATTAGAAGATATTCTCAAGAGCTTGCAGTAAGTTTATTATTTCTTTCACTTTGCAGTTTTTATTGGTTTTCAATGGTACCAGTTATGCTGCTTAGCAAAGATTTTGGGGCCAGTAAGCAAAGTGCCAAATGCTTGGCTCTCTGAGTGCTTTCATTGAAGACTGATTCAGGGTTTGTAATGACCTTGAGGACTGAGATTCTGTGTATAGCACATAACAGAAAAACATGTGGTTAGAATGAGTGATTACTACACCAAAGGAGTGTCTTGTAAAGCAAATATTTCCTTTGGATCAGTTGATTGTAGGTTTGTCTATCACTGGAGTTTAGGCTTGTGCGAACATTCAATTGCTTTGAATATTTGAACCAATAGTAGGGTATTAGAATTCGCTTCGATTCGAATTTAAATTATTGACAATTTTGAAGTATTAGTAAAGAATGAATAGGTGCGAATTGGTGTGAATGTACCACCTGTAAAGGTGGTGTCGCTGCAGTGTGCGGGTGCTCAACCGTGAAAGCACATAGCCAGAAGAAATTCGCTTTGCCGCAAAGCCTTCCTTCAAATTTAAAGGGGCCCTGGAACACTTATTGAGCATTGTCTGAAAACGTTGATCAGTAGTCGACACGAGCCAAATAATTTAGTGCAGCCATTCACAATAAATTATCTGTCAGCTAAAAATTGCTTTCTTCTCTCAGCAAATGATTCCTCAAGCTCAGAAAGCACGGGTGACGTATATTCTTTCCCCGTACCATCCCTCCTTGCTTTGCTTTCTGTGCTTTCGTCGGGACAAGAAGAGAGAATGCACTTGCAGCATGCGAGAAATCTTTGCAACTCCGGCCATACTGGCAGGATTCTAAAAATTTTTGTGGCGGTGACTTCGTTATGCAATGAGCTTCTTTAGTGAATTCATTCCATGGTGACTTGAAAAAGCTTGTTGTGACAGCTTATATGCTCTAAGTATAATCAATTAAAAAATTTTTGTTTTTAAGGGTTATGACTCTCATCCTGCTGAAGGTCAAAGCCTGTTGTTTCGACTTTCTCTAATTGAAAGAAAAAAAAAAGACATTTGAATAAAGGCCCTATTTCAATTTTTCTAAGAATTTTGTGCAGGTTAGCTACATCATGATAAATATGCCCATGTTTTTTATACGTTATATATACTATTGGAATGTTATTTGAAATTATTCGACCAAAATCACTATTCGCTTTGAATTCGCTTCGAACCTAAAATTCACTATTCGCACAAGCCTACAGGAGCCACATTTACAATGTACAAGTTAGACAAAAAGGTGGTTCTTTCTTGAATGAGATTTGCACAAGACAGCCAGTACATACTGATCCCAGTTTATATATATATATATATATATATATATATATATATATGTAACAGACAGTAATGCCAAGGAATGTACAGGGGAAGTTATTAGAACCAATGGAATGTAAATAAGAAGAAAGAAAAGTGGATGAAAAAAATCCTGCTCACGGCTGGTTATTTTTTCATCCACTTTTCTTTCTTCTTATTTACATTCCATTGGTTCTAATAACTTCCTTTGTACATTCCTCTGCATTACTGTCTTTTATATCTCTTTAATATTGTGTCAAAAACATGGAAAAATGAGCCCTTTAGTATACACTTCTTTTCCTTATATATATATATATATATATATATATATAATATTCATTGTGGGCATTCGTTAACCACTTTATCTCATATATGCATTATTATAACCATCATCATCATCCATCTGGGTCCCTGTTGTTATCTTCACTGGGTGTCACCACAATCATCGCGTGTGTGTGCTCGAGGTCTCAGACTGCCCGTTCGCTGGCAGTCTGAGATAAATGGTGCCTTAACACACACACACACACACACACTGTTGTGGCCTGGGTTCGCGACACCGCAGATCCGGGATCAAGATGTCGAGGCAGGAGGAGGTTGAACTTCGTAGAGAGGGTTTACTTACATTATTTGCATGGAATGGGCTCTCTGGCCCGAAGCTCTACATTGAAAAAGGCTGTCTAATCAACAAGCTCCGTGAACTACACTAAGCAGCCCGCGAGGGCTGATTAAATACAGTCTCATCTCCCCAGATCTCTAGTCGGGGAATAGGTCTATACGGCACTGTCTAATAGCATGTCCCGCAGCACACAAGAGTGTCGTTATGCCGGCACTGCCCCCAACAAACACACATACACAAACCAAACACGCGTATGGTCCCGGCGATGCTGCCTCCTTCGGCAAATCTTGCTTGAGCAGGGTGAAGGTGAAATGAGTCTGTCATCACGCCGCTCGAGGCGACCCCCCATGCTTTGTTGAACGGCAGTCGCGATCTAGGCGCCTCCGAGGGGCCATGCCTGGACATCTGGTGCCGATTTGAGCGTTGGCAGCTCATCAGTCAGAGACGCATAGCGTGATGGTCTGACGTCTGTAATCGGCAGAAGCTCGACATTTTGGCTTTTACCGGGGCACGAAGACTCCACATGTCGCACCTTTGCGCAGACCAGAAGTACAGCGGTGCTCCGTAGAGCAATTTGAGCCATGCAGCGCTCAGCACATTGAAACAGCAGGGTGTCTTGGTGCTGCTTCCTATCTCCACAGAATGACGCGGCTGCTTTTATTTCGTTTTGGGGGCCGCGGCAAAAGGGCGGGCCGCCACACGCAACAGATGTCCACCGGCAGAAAAATCGACCTAAGGGTGACAGCCGTACAGGTTGCCCGAAGCGTCGTTGTTTGGTGGCTTCATCCAGGCCACTGCCGAAGACTTAATACGGCTATCTTCAATCATTCATGGGCCTTTCCTACCTGGGATTTCAGAGAAATACACACAATCACAGGCAAGGGAGAGCGCCCTGCCCACATCGAAACACATCGAGTCCGAAAAATGATGTCAAAAGAACATTTCTTGAACAGTAAATATAACGCACAAAGCAGTAATCAAAGCGTTTCTCTTAGCTTTTGCCGAAGCTCCTAATCCCTTTTCGAAAATAATGGTCCTATTAAAACTGCTCTCCAGAAATTGAACTCCAAATTGATGTGCTCTCCATGGCATAGTTGTGTGCCAGCGTTAGTAATCCGCTGTAACCTACCGGGCCTCATGCTCATAAAATGAGGCATTTCGCTTCACGTTAACTTTTAGCCTCCAAAATTTAGTGCCGCCAAAGCTAGTCGTCGATTTCCTTTGAGCAGACGAAAAAATAACTGTCGTGTTGCGCCTGCATCAGGAACATACACATTACACTTGTGCAAATGCACGTTACAGTGCTCCTGCAGAGATTAACTACTAATTAACTTTTCCTTGCGATTACCCTCTTCATAAGAGCTACACGTTAGCTCCCGAATCAATGAACTCGCTTTTTTTACGTCCACGCCAGACACATGTGAAAAAAAAAAAAAAACTAACAACAAAAAACTATTGCATGAATCCTGAAAATTCGCGAAGAATGTTCTTGCGTCTTTGCGCTCACCCAAATTGGCTTCTAACGTCACTCTTATTCGACAAACGCTCCTAGGCATGTCGTTATGCAACTGTACCATGCTTACCTTTAAAACCAAAACATACACTGCTTAAGAATTAAACAAAACCTAGCACTTGTTACCTAAATGCTAGCTCGTAGCAGAAATACTTACAAAACACTTCCCAAAAGCAAGACCTACTTAAACAGCCAAACATAACTTCAAAATGAAAAAACAAACTAATCCGCTAACGAGCCTTTCCAAACGCTTACCGCTGTCGCTCAATTTTGAGTTGAACAGGTGGCGGTTGCTTCCTATGGGCGTTTCTTGGCGAACGGAGATAAGGACGACAAAACCCATTCGCTTCACCTCCGAAACCTGCTGAGCTTTTCGCTGTCAGCCAGCGTTCCTCCTCTCGTTCAGTTACTTCTAGCGAGCCAGCGACCTGGCGCTTGCATGTCCCATCAAACGTGTGTATAGAATGATGGGAGGCTGACTGTCCCATTCCTTTTGCCTGCATTTCCACCCGACACACCACCCTTCCTCTTTTCCTCGTCCCGCAGCTCTGACGCATGCAACTCAACTTTGGCATAGATGACAAATGCCTCGAGGCTTACTACGCTGAAGAGTTTACTGGCATTCTTCAAGTGAGTTGTGCTCTTTGTCACACTCCTGCGTTTATGACGCCGCTTTCGCCTACGCCTCTTCTTAGGGTCCATTTCTGACCCTTCCACTCGCCTCTCCGGCTCGCCAGCACTCGGGCTGGTTTCTTTTGCTGTCTCGCCCGCACAGTCTGAATTATTTGCCCACAAATCATCTTCTCCCTCACTCTGGATACTAGCGGTCACCTTAACGCATCCCGTAACACTGCAGCTGTTTGCTTCCGAAGAAGCTAGCTCGCCTTCCAGGGAGCTGCTCACAACTGCATTGCACTCCCTAATATCTTCCTTCGCTTCCTCTCCTGAATTCACCCCGGTGTTCCTGGTTAGCAGGTCGAAATTCTCTTGGACACCGCATGCAGGATCCACCGTGGTGACACACTCACGTGAACTAAGCTCAACTAACGGGAAGCTGACCCACAACTTCTCTATCCTGCGTGACTTCCTCACTCTTCAGGCCTAATGTTGGTGTTATTGCCTAGCGGGTCGAAATCTTATTGTACTCTACCGGCAAGATCTAACATTGGCACACTCTCACTTCGTGTCTGTGCCAGGTCGTCTACAACTATCTTAGCTGTTTCACTAGAATTCTCCTGGCAAAGCACTTCACCACATTTACTATGGCCTTCGGCGGCCTCTCCTCTTATCGCAGCTTCTTTCTCAGCTGTCAACTTTGGTTCATTCGTGAACCTACTGCTACCCTCATAGTTGCTAGCTTTTCCTGTGGTTCCCATTGTCACCGCACTCGGTTCATTCAAGAATCTGCTGCTACCCTCGTAGTTGCTAGCTTTTCCTGCAGCTCCGATTTGCCCCGGACTCAACTGTTCCTCGCACCTCTCGTGTGCTACCTGTACTGATCGACCACTCCTCTGCTTTGCATCTAACGTGCATTCTAGTCTTTCACACTCGCATTTGAACCTTTCCTTCTCCTTAGAAATTTCTTGCATTGCCTTCCTGTATTCTTCCTCCCTTGTTCTCTGTTTCTCTATTCATTCCTGTTGCAATAAATACATATTCTCAAAGTGCTTCATATCGGCCGTGTTACTTTTACTTTCGAGAATTACCTCACGGAGTTTAGATGCAGGCATATCATCCTCGAATTTTAGGTCGAGATTGCAACAGAGGTTTAGCAGGTTATCTCTCGTTAATCTCATCGGGTCTATGGCGACTACGTTGCTTCGGCTCAGCTGTGAAAAAACACAAACCCACCAGCGTTTCAATTCTGGGTCTGGAGAAATTGAAACCTGGTCAATCCCACAGCGGAGACCGAAAGCATAAGCACACAAGTAGCACTACGTGACCAACCTCCTTCTCTACACTTTTCCTATTTGTTTTACACTCCTCTGCTCTCTTCAACTTCCCAAAACTTTCCTGCAACGTACCCTCACAACTCCCTCAAACTCGCGTGTTTACGGAATTACCTAAGTTTTAGTACTCAACCTACTTGCTCAGATAATCATCGAGTGCTGCTCTGTGCTCAAATAACAACCATAGGTGCTAGACGGTTGTTCGTTATATCTATCTTTAAACGAGTCTAGGCTAAAAGACTCGATACATCTCAAGCACAAAGCCAGGCACTCACTCGAATACGTGCGGTCATGGTACGCTGCGTCAATTCTGCCGAATTCCAGGGCTAGGGTTTTCGGCTGACCTCCAGTCCATGTCGCTCTCCGCCGCTGAGTCTCATCTCACCGCTGCCATCCAGTTGTTGCGATCGGGGTATGCGGCACCGGAGATCCGGGATCAAGATGTGGAGGCAGGAGGAGGTTGAACTTCGTAGAGGGGGTTTATTTACATTATTTACATGGCACGGGCGCTTTGGCCCGAAGCTGTACATGTAAAGATCTACATTGAAAAAGGCTGTATAATGAAAAAGCTCCTTGAACCACACTAAGCTGCCCGCGAGGGCTGATTAAATACAGTCTCATCTCCCCAGATCCCTAGGTCGCGGAATAGGTCCATATGGCACTGTCCAATAGCATGTCCTGCAGCACACACGAGTTTCATTATGCCGGCACTGTCCCCAACAAACATACATACACAAACCAAACACATGCATGATCCCGGCGATGCCGCCTCCTTCAGCGAATCTTGCTTGAGCGGCTGAAACGAGTGTCATCTCGCCACTCGGGCCGACCACCCATGCTTTGTCGAATGGCAGTCGCTGTCTAGGCGCCTTCGAGGGGCCATGCCTGGACATCTAGTGCTGATTTGAGCGTTAGGGGCTCATCAGTCTGAGACGCACAGCGTGATGGTCCGACATTCGTAATCAGCGGAAGCTCGGCCTTGTGGCTTTTACCGGGGCACAAAGACGCCACGCGTTGCACTTTTGCGTGGAAGTGAAGCACAGCGGTGCTTGGTAGAGTAATTTCAGTCATGCAGCGCTCAGCACATGGAAACAGCAGGGCGTCTTGGCGCTGCTCCTTATCTTCACAAAATGAGGCGGCTGCCTTTCTTCCGTTTTGGAGGCCGTGGCAAAAGGGTGGCCCGCCAACCGCAACAATACACACACACACACACACACACACACACACACACACACACACACACACACACACACACACACACACAGAGTTTTAAAATTGTGCCCACTAAATGTATAAAAAGCTATCTGCATGCGGCCTATGGTGCTTTAATTACTGCAGCAGAAGGCATTTTCAGATGCATGCAAACATTATTTATGGCAGTAATTACAGAAATTAATACAATTAACTTTTTCACTAGCGGGAATAGGCAGTAGAGTAAAATTGGTGAATTGAAGTGCTTCCTGCAAATAGTCCATAGTCACGTCGAAACTTCTGAAACGCGGCCACTGGTAATCAGCGCTAGGCGATGAAATCTGGTAGCAGGCAAAATCGAAACCGAAGCACGAAACGTCGCATCCACCATTCACTTCCGAAACGTCCTCAGTGACGGCACTGTTTTCCTCGCATTGGGGGAGGGGGAACAAGCGAGCGTCAATGAACGGCCTTGGGGCTGGAAAGCGCTGCCACGAAACAAAGTACGTATATTGAGGGTTGATAACGGCAAGGGAAACAGTGTCACCAAGGGCGTTTTCGAAGTGAATGATAAATGTGCTGTTTCGTACATTGGTTGTGCCTGCTAAATTAGCAATATTTCGTCTCCCCGCTGTACTTACTAGTTTTCGCCTTTCAGGAACTTATATATGTGTGTGTAACATTATGATGAATGAAAGACGTGCGGTGGCTCAGTAGGCATACTTTTATTTTAATCCACGCTCACTTCTTCGTTCTCGACTTCTAATAGCCATGCCTGCGTACTTTAAGTTATAGACGCTTGCATGCACTATTAGCCATCCCTGCATACTTTCTTATGTCTTACACACATGCATGCACTCATAATTCGGGTATCTTGAACGAGAAAATACCAAATTGTCATCATATTTAGCACCACCACCACCACTTTTCATGCCTGGAATTTACAACAGTCACTTTTTTCTGTCGGAGATAGATGTGTAGCTTGTGAGGGCCACTCAAGGGCTTGTACTGGGAGGGCTTGTACTACTATAATGATGGTTGTTTTAGTATCTTTTTGTGGAGTTGTAAGGAACCTTGTATTTTTTCTACTTTCTCTTTTACTTATGTTGTACTGAGTTTCAGCCCATACAAGGCCAAATTGTGACCCCCAAAAATGGCAGCATTTTTCTTTTCAGCCTCTCTGGCTAACTTATTTACATTAATCTGTGCCATCGAACTTGCTCTTTGTTTACCCAACCAGGTGTGTGTGTGTGGCTATCTCCCAGAGCGTGGCAAAATATTGAGACAAAGCTAGCTCATTCATAGCAGTGTGAGAAAACTTCAGCTATTGTCAGATAAGCTGAGCTCTTTGATAAGTAATGTATGGGCAAGTCGAGCTCATTCATAACGTGAGAAGGGTTAGAGACCAATAATGAAGTAAATACGTAAAAAAATAAGTTGAGAGGGAAGAAATTGTTAAGCAGTCTTAAGTGCGGAAGGGGCTAAAAGCACTTGATGGCTTTTTTCTTATGCTCATGTGAATAAATGTAATAAATAAGAAATGCAACTGCATCTTATCACAGTTGTAGAATGGGTGCATTTTGCCTTAAAAATAATTTGACAAGTTACGCCTTTTTATTCTTGAACTCATTTCATGGCTTTATCTCCTAAAGTTGGTTTAAGATCCTTGGAATCGTATGTGGCTCAGTAATAATGAGAAGTGCTACAGTTTGCACACTTTTATGTTATGCTCACATTGTAGTTCTCGCAGGTTTTTACAAAATATACCATTTCTTGTATCCATAGGGAGTACTACAGCAGCAGCAGTACCCAGCGGCGAGAGATTACTGTCAAAGCTGGCATGTACTGTGCAGCATACTATGCAGATGATGGCCGCTGGCGTCGTGCCAGGATTCTGCAAGTTTTGAAAGGTGAGCGTTTGTTCCAGCCTTCACTATTGCCCTAATATACGGTATGCTTGTTCATGCACAACTGTCAGCTAGCTCTTTGTTGCGGGGATCGTGCACTACGAGCTGCCACAAGAGCGGCTGTGCATCGTAATGAGCTACATAGAAGCAGTGGGATGTCCTCCAGCGTGCAGTACTCCCCACGTGGCGAACCCTGCTCAGCAAACGAAGGCAGGCTTCAGTCTTGGTAGACCATCATTCATCTTTGAAGCAAGACCAAGGAAGAGCGATGTCTGACGCACACTGAATCTCAGGCCCCTTTCTTCTCATTGTGGGGAAGCTGGATACCATGGGGTTCCTGCTGAACGCCCCTTGTTCGTGACTTGGTGAGTGACCACTGAAAATTGAGACCTTGATCTCGAATCGCGGCTATGTTGAACGTCTGTGGCATGCACCTTGTTTGTTGTCGCTTGCCCTGTTCTACAGGATGGAAAAACTGAGTTCACTGATTTCCAAAGGTGAGGCCCCTGATACTGACTGCACAGGAAATCCTCCATTACAATGACAGCGATGACAGGAAAGAAGCACACAGACCCAGTAAGATGTGGTACCCCGAGTGCCAACAGTGAACATTACTGTAACCGTGGGCAATGAAGAAGTAACTGCACCAATCGACTCTGGAGCAGACACTTCAGTAATGAGCATGGACCTTGCCTGAAAGTTGAAGGTTTCTACCCAGTGGACTGGGTTACAGATTTGCATGGCAGGAGGCCATCCTGTAACTGCGGTAGGAAAATGCACAGAGGGAGCAAGAATTCATGGGTTTATGTATTGGGGAGATTTCATTAAACTGCCCAATTGCTTAAAGGACTTAATTCTTAAAATGGACTTGCTACAGGCTAATGAAGCCATGATTAACTTGCCAAAGTTTCAATTAAGATTTTCTACGGTGCGCACCTTAATGGGCAACTCTGACAGTTGTCAATGCTTTGAAGGTTGTCAACAACGTCACATTACTGCTGAATAGTGTCATATTGATCTGGGTAGCCTGAGACGTATTCAACGACTATGAAGGCATTGCCGAGGCAAGTACTGCTCTATTGCTTAAACGGAACATCTGCATAGCAAATGTTCCGTTCGGGTGCAGAATAACTGCTCGCATGTTCTGCATACCAACTTCAGTTATGAATTTCAGTGTGTCTCTCAGGGCGCCACCGTCGACTTATTTAGTGCCATCGCCGGATTCTCCGATAATGGCACGTTAGTGACGACTTCATCAGATGCATTAAATATTTCTGACTAAGCCAGCCTCATTCACATTAATGCTGGCTGGTCAGACCTGCAAAAAAAGTTGTTGGTAAAGCTTTGGGGTGGAATTTTAAGTTTGATTCTCCACAGCATCGAAAGTCGAACTTACTTCTTCTAAGAAACACCATATTGTTACAGAGGCATTGACATGGCCTCTTCCCCAGCATCTATGGCCTGTTTTCCCAAAGGGAGAGGCAATTAAGCGTCAAGTTCAAGAAATGCTGAATGATATAATCCAACCATCAACAAGTCTGTAGGCATTCCACCCTGCCGCGGGGGATCTAGTGGCTAAAGTACTAGGCTGCTGACCCACAGGTCGTAGGATCGAATCCCGACTGGGGCAGCTCCATTTTGAATGGAGGCGAAAATGCTGTAGGCTTGTGCTCTCAGATTTGGGCGCATGTTAGAAGAACCCCAGGTGGTTGAAATTTCCGGAGTCCTCCACTACATCATCTCTCATAATTATATGGTGGTTTGGCATGTTAAGCTACACATATCAATCAAATCAATCTGTAGGCATTGCCTGTGGCACTAGCAAAGAAAGAAGACAATACACTTCACCTCTGCATTGACTACTGATGACCTGACGTCACCAAACATGATGCTTATCTTCTGCCGCTAATTGGAGACGCCTTGAACTGTCTACACCAATCTCAGCTTTTTACGTCATTAGACCTCAAGTCAGGGTACTGGCAATTGAAGTTGACAAGGGCGACTGCGAAAAAACTGCAGTTCGTAACTCCCAACAGGCTTTATTAATTTAAAGTACTGTCTGTTAGTCTCTGTTGCACTCGTGGGACCGAATTGGCAGATGGGTGTTGTATACCTGGACGACATTGTTGAGTTTTCAAGCAGGTTCGACGAACATCTCGTATTATTAAAGAGCGTAATCACAGCAATACCTCAATATCAGACCCAAAAAGTGCTATTTCGGCTACCAGGAACTTAAGTTTCCAGGCCACGTTGTGAGCCCTGACGGTGTTCGACCAGACCCAGACAAGCTAGCTGCCATTGTTGTTTCTACTCGTCTTGAAGGCCAGAAAGCCGTTCAACAGTTCCTTGGCCTCTATATCTACTATCATCTTTTTAATAAAGGATTGTCCAAAATAGCATAATGTCGTTAACACGACAAGATGTAGCGTTTGTGTGGATAGGAGAGCATTAGCAGGCCTTCGTAGAGTTACGCAAGTGACTTCAAGCAGCTTCAGCACTGGCACATATTGGCGACACTGCAGAAACTGAGGTACACACCGACGCCAGCAATGTAGGACTCATAACGATGCTGACTACGTATCACGTGCTCCTAATCCTTCAACATCATCTGACGTAGAACAAGATTTGCCATTTCTTGGTGTCATCAGCGTGGTGGGGATAGCTGAGTACATCGAGTTGCTCTCTGTCATCCGGTATCTGCAAGGAGCTGACGTTGCTGTTCCACACCCACTCTCATGATTATTGACATCTTATTTCCTGTGGATAAGTGTTTCATACAAAAAAAATTTTGAGAAAAGGCAGGAAACTTCTCCTTCGCATCCCAGGGGCACTGCATGAAGAAGTTTGGCAGGCTTGCCACGACAACCCATCTGTTAGTCACTTTGGCTTTGATAGAACATTAATGCGCATACGCCAGAAATACTTCTTGCCACAGCTATGCTCATCAGGTCAGTGCTATGTCCTGACCTGCCGTGACTGTCAGAGGCATAAAGTGCCTCTAGCTGCCATAGCTTTTAAAAGGTAGTCTTGTATTTTTCATGAGTGTAAATTTGCACGAAATAAGGTTTCCTATAACTGAAAATTTGTTATATATATATATATGTATTGCTAACACTGTATCTGTTGCAACACTCTTCTTCATTTACTTCATTATAACTGATATTTTGTTTTATCTGGATCCGTTACATTGAGCTTTGAGTGTGTACATATTGACAAGTGCAGTCACATATGAGCAAACACACAAAAGCACAGCTAGTGCATTTGTAAAATGTAATATAGCTGCAGTTAGTGTGAACGGGGGGCTGTAGAGGCTTACTTTTTGTTATGTCCGGTCAGAGCCACGGGCCTGCTAGTTAATTTATGTATCTTATTTTATTAAATGCTGACTGCCACGTAATTTTTAAATTTGGGAGCCTTACCTTGAGCTCATCAAATGTGCTTGTGGAAGTTGATACCAAATGGACTCACGGCGCATCGCTTGGCAGCTTGTGGAACTAGTCTAGGAAACAAAAGTTGTACATTTTAAGTGTGAATACACTTTATAAGCGACCCCAAACCATCCACCGCTGTCGGCGGCGTCCGCAGTCTTCTCTCTATCTTTAAAAGACAGAGGACTTGGCGGGCCGCAGCGCGACACTCTACCGAATAAGCCACGGACGCGACGCTGATATCGGTGTCAGTAACGTGTCTTATATCTTTAACGCCGCTGCGCGCGTCCCCCTCTCCCTTCGCTCGCTCCTCCGCTCTCCTCGCTCGCTGCAGCTGCGTTCGCACCCCTCTCTCTCGCGCGCCCGTCTTCTCTCTCAGTTTCCCGTCGAGAGCGGGTCGCCCCTCATAGCATCACCCCGTGCATTCGCACTTAACCATGTTCACCCTCGGGGAAATGCTTGGGAGTTTTTTTTTTCAAATTGTGCTGTCACACTGGCACCAAGAACAAAATATAAACGCTCGTGGGAACCATTCAGGTGGTCTAACAGTAGCTGCCGGAAGCATTAGGCTGATGGAAATCGTATAGAGGTCATTGTTGCTAAAGACAGAAAAAGTTAATTACTGAATTGAACCGTAATAATAGGCTACAACTTGTCACACACACTATGTACATTTCGCAATTGCTGGCACGTCAAAAGCAGAGAGCTAAAGCAGAGACTTGCATGCTTGTCATGGAGACTGCTATGGTGTTCTGACTTTCCATGAGCACTTGCGTGCCTGTTGGCGACGCTTATGTGCGTGAAAAAGGTCTATTGCTTTATTTAGTACTCTTCATTTTGTGGATGCACTATTATACAATTGACAGAGTTCTCGAATCTGCCTGCTTATGATAAGACATCTTCAGAGACTGCCATGTACACCTAGGAGCTATTGTATAAGGACATATAAAATTTCAGATACTGATGCCCATTTCCATCTAATTTGTTTTGGACTTAAGTACAAATACAAAAGGGCATTTAAATTAGCCAGCACAACTTCCATGTTCATTGCAGCTTTGAAGCAGCAGTCTTGGCACTGATTCTCTTGTAAGTCATAGCAGTTCCCAATAGTCAGCTTTGCCACTATGCAGGGGTAATATGCGGTCACTATCAATAATGAAAAAGACCAATGCTATCATACATAGGTGTTACTAAGATGCTCCCACGCATCCAGTCTCCTCTAACAGTATGAGCGCTGAGACGCTAAATAGGTATGTATACTGGCTGTCCTTTGAATTGTTTCAGACAAAGCTGTGGCAGTTTACTCCATTGAAGGTCGTAGAGATGTATGCTTGTGTTTTTTTTTTTTCGTACTACCCAATTTTTTTAACGATTATGTTATCCCTAGGGAATTGAAAAATTGGATGTTGACTTTGAATCATTTTTAGTCGCAGTGGCTTCTTGTGCGTGCAGTCTTTAAAAGGCATCGAGTATAGATCTTTAGGTGGTCTTTATTTTGTTAATACTTATTTTCTTTTTATGGTGTTTTCTAACAGCCTCTGTCGTTATTCACTCTTGCAGGTCACGTTAAGGTGTTTTATGTGGACTTTGGCAACAGTGACAGAGTGAGCATGGATTATTTATGCTTCCTTGAAGAGGAGTTTACAACATATCCAGCTCAGGCTCTTTGGTGCACTATCAAGAATGTATGTATGATACTTGGTTTAGTACCTCAAACAGCCTAGTTTCGACATATAAAAACAAGTTTTGTTTTTATACTTAATTGGAACTTAAATAGTACAAACTTGTATTGCATGAAGTTTTGAGTGTTCTAGAAGGTGTGTTGATAAGCAGCTGCTAATAAAATCCATGTGAGGGCAACCCTCATGTTTCTGTTAAATAACTGCTTCTTTTTTATTACATGATGTGATGGACACAAAGGAAGTATATTCTCCGTGTTGTTCTCTTGCTGCAGAAATAGCAGGATTAAATGAAATATCACTGTTTGGTCTATATGATTGCTATTAGTCAAGGTGATGAAAGTTTTAATTTGGGGAAAAGAAGAAACTATGTGGACTACACAATGTATACTCTGTAAATTGATAAAGTATCAATACTCATTGCAGCAAGAAGTTTTTGACAGCCTGGAACTGTTAGTTATGAGTTATTTATACATCTCATTATTTGATGCGTCTGTCTCAATGTTTATGAATGTGTAATTTAAGTGATTGCTCTGCTTTGTAGATGGAATCCGCAGCTGGCTCAGGCATTTGGCGTTTTCCTGCTATTCGAGCTTTTCGAGACAAGATCTCTGCACAAGGAAAAAAGTTGCAAGCCTTTTTCTACTCACAAGATATTGCCACAGGTCGATACACTGTGGACATTCTGGGTGTCAATGCAGACAATGTATCCGTCAACTTGTCGCAGGAATTCATCACTACCTGCTCATCGGGGTACCCACAGCCCAATGTAAGGCTCTAGTCTAATAATTTCGCTTAGTTTATTTCCTTCACTTGTTGCCTTCTTTAGTTTCCCTACCGAGTTATGTTAAGTTCTCGAAGAGACGGTGAAGAGCTTTAGTATTAGAAATGGCACTGTGCTATACAGTGAAATCTCCATACAACGAATCTCGAGGGACCGCTAAAAGTGCTTTCGGCAACGTTTCTCACGAATTCATTCTCCAGTCTATCGCCAGCCTAGGGCTAGGGAAGAGGGTCTACGACTTCGTGAGATCCTTTCTTTACCAGAGAACTACCAAGCTCAAGATAGAAGGGTACTTCTCACGAGAGATCAATCTCGGTTCACCTGGCACACCTCAGGGCTCGGTTATTTCACCAACACTATTTAACATCGTGATGATCGGGCTCTCCAAGGAACTCGCGAAGACTCAAGGAATCAATCATACCATCTACGCAGATGATATAATCATCTGGTGCACCGGGGGGAGCGATGGTCAAGTTGAGGAAGCCATGCAGCACGCAATCGACGTGACCGAACGTTTCCTCCGTCCCACCGGTCTCAGGGGCTCCCCATCGAAATCTGAACTTCTGCTCTACAAGAAAAGACCCCGAGGTGGCGGCCACCGTGACTGGAAACCTGCGTCTCAAAGTGAAATATGGCTTTTCACTGGTGGCGGGTCCCCAGTGCCCAGAGTGGATTCGCTCCGAATATTGGGAATGTATATCGAGTCCAACGGCACTAACAGAGCTGCACTCAGATCACTACCAAGACGGAAAGTGCTTTCGGCCTCATCCGGAGAATCACCAACAGACACAGGGGAATCAAGAACGACAATCTCATACGCATCATACATGCGTTTGTGCTCTGCCACCTTTCGTACTCGGCGGCCATGTATAATTGGCATGTTGCAGAGAGAAGTAAGCTCAATTCCCTCACAAGAAAGGTCTTCAAGCTCGCGCTCGGCTTGCCTGTAAGCACTCGCACTGAAAACCTTTTCAAGCTCGGTGTTCACAATACACTCGAAGTGATAATCGAGGCGCAAGAGCGCTCACAGCTGCTCAGGCTTTCCGGAACCAAATCGGGCCACAAGATACTCAATGGTTTGGGCCTCAACTCTATTGACCAGTGCCCCAATTCCATGCAGATTCCCAGAAACATCAGGTCTCAACTGCACATCGCACCCATTCCCCGCAATATGCACCCAGCGCACGTCGGTCGACGTAGATCCAGGGGTAGAGCTCTGCTCGAGCACGTCCGTAGCAACCCATTGATTCAAGCTTTGTGGATGCTGTGCCATATGTCCAACAAGAAGCATTCGCTGTTTCAATCGTCGACTCAAATTCCAGGCTCACTTGCTCCGCCACAGTACGCACATCGATGCCAGTGATAGCCGAACAGGTTGCAATCGCGCTGGCTATGCTAGATAGTCGCAGAGAGTCAATGTACAGCGACTCCAAGGCGGCTATCAAAGCCTACGAAACCGGGATGGTAGCCCCTCAGGCGCTCCGCATTCTCTAAAGCGTCAAGAGTATCACGCCCCATTCTCTAACTTGGTTCCCCGCTCACCTGGGGTCGATTGAGGTCTCTACCTCTAACCTGAACGAGGGCGCACACGAGGCCATGCGAGGACTCGCTGACCGCGCCGCCTCCACAGTCCCCCTGCCTAGCTGGGAACCCTTACTCACGTTCAACGAAATAACAAAGCACTTCTATCTGTCATGAAGGGTATTCCCTCTCCCACACCCGGCCTTGTGCAGGGTGCAGGCAGTCACCCTAAGACTATTGCAAGCCAGTGCGTATCCTAACCCTGCGGTTCTTCATGCCATCTACCCTGAACGGTATCCAAGTGCGGATTGCCCCGCTTGTGGACTGTTAGCCACATTTAATCATGTGTTGTGGGAATGTGAAGCCATCGGCCCCCCCCCCCCCCCCCCCCCCCCTCAGGGAGGACAGGTGGGCTGCACTCTTACGCAGCCCCGAACTTAAGGATCAAACCCTGGCCGTCCAGAGTGCCCGTGAACGGGCCGCCAAGCTCGGCTTGATGGTCCTAACGTGGGATTAGCCGGGTGGCGCAGGGTCTCCCCTGCGTCTTCTCAGGACAAAAATAAAGTTTTAATCAATCAATCAATCACCGCTAAAAGTCATTCACTATATTGAAAAGTCGTTGTGAAAGTTTAAAATTTGTACGAAAATTGTACACGCAAAACACATGAGTCCCCTACCTGTACTGTGTATACATTCTCCCACGTTTATTTGAGGAAGAGTGCAATCTATCTGGATGTGCGCAGCTGGACTGCTAAAGGACTAACTCTTTAGCATGTGCATCCTTCTCACGCACTCCAAAGCGTCGGTGTTAAGTACCAATTATTCATGTTAGTTCGCACGTGCTCTTTTAACGTAGTCTTTTCACTTGTCGCTGTTTTCTTTCGCTACAAATGGCATGGATCAAATCGGTAGTCAGCTACACTCATGTGCATGCTTTTTCGTCGCATTGTGTATAGTGTTCGAGTGTTAGTGACGGCTGCACGGGTAATCATCGGCGACTTCATCCCACAGGTCACTTGCGTCGCATTTCTCACTTTCGTAGCATTCTTTTCACGCTGCTTCAGGAGCTCATCTTGAACATTTTCATCATCATCATCCTGACTTTGCCCACTGCAGGACAAAAGCCTCTCCCATATTTGGCCAGTCTACTCGGTTCTGTGCTTGCTGCTGCCACTTTATACCTCTAAACTTAATCTCATTTGCCCACGTAACTTTCTGTCTCCCCTTCCTGCGTCTGCCTTCTCTGGAAATCCAGTCAGTTACCCTTAATGACCAGTGGTTATCCTACCTACGCACTACATGCCCAGCCCATGTTCATTTCTTCTTCTTGATTTCAACTATGGTATCCCTAACCTCTGGTAATTCCCTGACTCACTCTGCTATCTTCTTGTCTCTTAAGGTTACCCCAATCACTTTAATTTCCATCGCCTGCTGTGCGTCGTCCTCAATTTAAGCTGAACCCTCTTTGTAAGACTCCAGGTTTCTGCTTCACAAGTAAGTACCAGCAAGATCCAGCTGTTATATACCTTCCTCTTTAGGGAAAGTGGCAATCTACCAGTCTTGATTTGAGAGTGCTTCCCGAATGTGCTCCACCTCATTCTTATTTTTCTAGTTACTTCAGTCTCGTGGTTCGGCTCCGCAGTTACTGTTTGTCCGAAGTATATGTACTCTTTTACAACTTCAAGTGCACTGCTACCTATCTCGAAACGCTGTTCTCTTTCGAGTTTGTTGTACGTTACTTGATTTTCTGCAAATTAATTTTAAGACCTACCTTTCTTCTGTCCTTGTCCAATTCAGTAATCATAAATTGCAATTTGTCCCCTGACTTCCTCAGCAATGCAATGTCATCGGCGAAGTGCAGGTTACTAAGGTACTCTTCATTAACTCGTGTGCCTGACTGTTCCCATACTGGGCTTCCGAAAACCTCCTGTAAGCACGTGGTAAATATCATTGGAGAGCATGAATACGCCAATTGTACGTTTTACCGCCAACAAAAAAGGCTAGAAAACAGTTGGGTAACAAGTGCGCAGTTAAAGCTGTCCGATGAAACAAAGGAAACATGTTGAAACATGGAGTAAGCAAAAAAAATTACAGCTTATCCATGGAGTGAAAGATGAGTGGAGCGAAGCGTCCATCTGTTTGTGTCCGTCCGTCCGTCCATACGTTGGATCACGTTCGAGAATGCAGACTGCGCGCGGGTAACACCGACGAGACGCGAGCCAAGGAAGCAGAGTGCAAGTTTATTTAACGCGCCCGCTGTTCTGTTTCATCCATGCCCCACCAAAGACCCGCCACGTACGGCGATTATCCAGGAGACTGAGAGAGGCACTCATCCTTCGCGTACCTAGGCACAGCCTGTGCAGTTTGTATGACTTCTGTACTTCTATGAGACAGCACCATCTATTATGCTTTTTGGGACATACTGCCTTCTTTTCTTCCTCATCTCCTCTTCTCTCGGTTACGCATGATGCATCACGAAGTTAGACTAAGAGGAGCTTCACCCCTAAAAAAAGGATGGAGCATTGTGCGAAGCCAGCTGAAGCCCACCATGTCGGCCCAACGCTTGACCAAAACGTTGGAGCGTGCGGTAGGTTTAAAACTCTTGGTGGTATTCCATATATATGAACCTGCTGCGCGAGCCAGCCAGTCTGCACTGAACAAGTACGTGGTTCTGCGCCGCAGTTACTATTTGTCCTAAGTAGACGTACTCTTTTGCAACTTCAAGTGCACTGCTACCTATCTCGAAGCTGCCAGGCGTCACTCTCTGAAGTCTCAGCAAGTCTCGTTGCCTGCGTGATCTTGATGCAAAAGGTCACATGTTGGGCCGACACTGCTGGCTTCAAAAACAGTTGGCTTTCAAAGGCTGGCGGCGTGACGTCATGCTCCCTCCTTTCTTTTTCTTCTTCTATGGGGCGAAACCTTGTGCGAAAAACAAGTAGCAGGCGATGACGATGGCAATATTGCTATTGCTCATTCGAATAGGGCGGGCAAATAGAGAATTACGCAGGTGTTTTGATAATGATGAGAGTGGCAGGTGCAGAGCTGGGCATTATTTTTATAGCCGCGAGTGAATTTTAAAAATTACTATTCGTTAATTTGAAGTGTTGTGGAGATAAAATTTGATACGTTATTCTGAAACATTCGATATTCTGAAATTCACAGTAGTGAAATATTGCTGCATTAAACCAATGGACATTTGGAGGGGGATTTTCAAAAATGTTGTTTCTCTGAAAAAATTGTTAATCTGAGGTATGCTATAATGAGATTTGACTGTATACAAATAAATCCTTGAGTCTCACTTTCCATTGCAGGGTTGGGGGGGCAGGCAATGAAGTTTCATAGCAGCTTTAAATTTTGTGTGCTTTCATTATTTTTAAAATCAAGTTGCAGGACACAATGTGATCAAAGACTGCTCTAGTGAAAAACACTGGTGGACTTTGAAAGTAGGAGCCATCTACAGTGAATATATCTCGTCATTCTGGCCCCGTTGTGATGGTCTAGTGGCTAAGGTACGCTGCTGCAGACCCGCAGGTCGCGGGTTCGAATCACGGCTGCGGCAGCTGCATTTCGGATGGAGGCGGAAATGTTGTAGGCCCGTGTGCTCAGATTTGGGTGCACCTAAAGAACCCCAGGTAGTCGAAATTTTCGAAGCCCTTCACTACGGTGTCTCTTATAATCATATGGTGGTTTGGGGACGTTAAACCCCCCAAAAATCAATCTCGTTATTTTGCTATGGTACATTTGTTGCCAGCAGATGCTTGCATCTGCTGTCATGTCCTGACGCTTTGACACAGAAGTAAGTTGTAATGACAACTGGGTGTTGCTCCTGAAGTTGATCCTATGTTTTTTGTCTGCTTCTGGCATAATAAGAGAAGTTGTAGTGTAGTTGCCAGTGGCCTCCAAGTTTTCGCAGTATGAGCAACAAGCCACATGTGCTGCCGGATATAGATTATATACATTTGCTCCAGGCTGACTACAGGTCTTTCAAGCCATTGGAAAATCTTGACATAGACACATTTTCAGTGCAAATGTTAGAATTGTTTTCTTTCTATTATGGTTGGCATCATCAGAAAAAGTAAGCATTGATTTTGCCTGGCAACTTTCAGTAGGAACAGGAAAAAAGGGAAGAGCGGAGAATGAAAAGAAAGAAATGCACACTCCGTGCTTGTCTATCTCGGCCAATGCTTTCCTTCTTAACTCCTGTGATGCAGTCTGCAATCAACTATGTGACTAACTTTCTAGGATTGATTAGTGTCGATTGAGCAAACTCCCAATTTCAAAAACCAGGCATCAGTGCCCATAAATTTGGCTTTCTGTGACTTGCGCATGACTGGGAGTCTGAGCGCAGCAAAAGACTGCTTCTTCGGTGCTGTCTCCTCTCCAGTGTATAGTGCATTGCCTTCTGTGCACCTTTTGCAATTTTCTCTCTCTCTATCTCCTCTATTTTCTGCAATTAATGCTTTTTTTTCTCTCTCTTGGAGCATGGAGAGCCTGGAGCATGCTGAGTCAAACTATTGACATGTTGAGAGCACCAATAGTTCCAAGGTATCTAGGCAATTTTAGCACCGTGTAGTTGCAAATGAGTTTCATAATTGTTTAAACATGTGTGTTAACTTTTTGCAGTTCGTTGTTGGGCCACTCCCAACTACACAACATGCAGCGATCTGCAGTCAGGCACCACACGCGTGAATATCGCTGAAAGACTTTGACACAAAATAAACAGCAAAAAATAGTCATCCCGCAAATTTTTTTTTGTACAGCTGCTGTTTTTTTGAGGTGCTCAAAACGTGTAGAATATGTTGGGCCAGATTGGATGGAAAGGGAGTAAATGTTTTGAACAGCAACAGCGAGCGAGTTGTGAAACGAGTCACAAAATTTTATGCCTAGCTTGAAGACTTGAAGTGCCAGGAGGATATTGCTTGCAGGGTGGTACATATAGGGACTTTCACCTAAGGATAAGCGTCTGGTAAACTTATTCTTCCATGTTTTATATTAAAAAAAAGAAACAAGCGAAAATGTCAAAAGGAACGTGCTTAATCAAAGTTGCACTCACTCCTTTATAAGCAGAATATTGAGTGTAATAAACTCTTTGCAAGCAGGCCTATCGACATTGCCGACTTCTCAGAGTTGCTGGAAGAGGAACTCAAACATTTTTAGATGCTTCTCATATTGAAAAATTCTACGTGAAAAATAACTGCGTGCTTTTGTTATCGGCTGCTGCATGCTTAACCACTAGCAAATAGGAGCTTTCTATTGCGGCACAAAAAAACTAGGTCCACAATAATCTGTTGTCATCCCCCTTAATTGAAAAAAGTTAGAAACCGTCTAAATAATGGTTTTGTAAGCTGATTTACTACTTCATAACTGGAAATTTTTTTCCCTGAATTTTGTTACTGAAGAATTGTCTTAATCTTGTTTTATTAAGGAATTGAGCAGTGCATAAGTAATAATTTGCCTTACTTACTGCAATAGTCTGCAACATGCACTTGGTTGCATTTTCATTGAGTGTGTCAGCATATGTTTGCACTCTAACTAAACTTAGCTGGTGTACCAGTATTTTATAGTAGATTCAGTGGAATAGTAGTCCAATTGTATGAACAAGCATAATTTATGTACGACCTTCCAGTAAAAAAAAATTATATAGCTGGGTCATCATTGCATATAAACTGGGTGACCCTGCTAAGACTAAATAAAAAGACCAACAAAGTGGAAATATGTAAGAATGGTGTATTATTAGTGGTCACGTCTTGTATACTAATAATTTTTTGTACATAATGCTCTACATCAAAATCAGAGTGTGATCCTTTACAAGAAGATATTTCAAATGCCATTTTAACAATAGGGGTATGACTACCTGTTTCTGCCGTGTCTCAAGCTGTGTAGGGATTCCAAGTAATGAAAGGGCAGATGTGCTTCTTTATCAGGGACTCATTGGCAGCACTGAAAGCTATTAGGCAAATAAAAATAACCTTAAAAGGCAGCCACGAGCAATTTGTTGAGCGCAATCATAAAAATAACAGCAAGAGTGAGACTTGTGTAAAAATTGCTAGCTGTGTCGTATTATACTGATATTTAGCAAATGGAGGATGTCCCGATAGCAGGAATGGCTCATCAAGGTTATATTAAGCAGATTTCAAATTGGATATGCACACCTGGCACACAACTCTTTACTTACAAAGAAGACTGATAAAACATGTAAAATTTAACAAGAACCGTTAGCAGGCAGGCAGACAAAGAACTTTATTTAAAGGCTCACTCCCCTTGCGGTGTGACATCGTTTGGCCACACCCAGGACGGGGCTGGGGAATGCATTTCTTCAGCTGTATCATAAACTAACGAATGTTCTTAATCACTTGTTCTCGTATTGCAACACAGAAAAATATTTGTGAGTTATACAAAGCACATATGTCTTTCTACCCTACTTTAATTCTAAGAAACTGACTATTGGTTTCCACGTTTATTGTTCTCAGTGTAATCTCAGTGTAACGAAAACTATCAATCAGCGATAGAACCTGACCAAACTCCGTTAATTGTTCCAACTTCTTCTGCTGCAATGCTGACGTGCGCATGTTTATTCTGTAGTCTTTTTTTACGTAGTACGCCCGTCCCTCATTACGGCTGCACAACTTGAGCTTGAACGATTCCTGTACTTTTCCTATAAACATTCTATTTTCAGCTTGCACTCTTCAAGCTTGGATTATGTCATGTTAACCAAGGCCATCATCTGGAATTTATCTTGGCAGCCAAACATTTAAACAAATATCAGGCTCCTGAAACATCACTGTACTGTTAACTTGGAAACTACTGCAAGGGAGTCAAAGCGGTGATGCGGGCTAGTTGGTTTTGGTCTCTTGCATTCATATTTGTAGTGCAAAACGGATAAAGACTGAGACACAGAAGGAACATACAAACAGGACGGGCGCTAGAAACCGCCAGACATGAGCGCATGTGCACAGTCACATTCTCAGGTGCTTTCTTATTTCTGTAATGTCATGTGTTACTACCCTGCATGCGCAAGATTTACTTTCAAATACTCAGTCTCTTTGCTGGATAAGGCAACCGATGCCACACTAACACATTTCCTTTAATTTTCACTGATAACAAACGTTTCTATAATTTCTCACGTTGCCTTACCTTTGCCTTTTCTAAGCACATGTTTATTGGTGAAATCAGGAACATGACGGCACCTGCATCAATTATCCGCCAAATGACCCCTCAATGTCTGCGTGTCAACTGCCGAACGGTGCTTTCACAGTCTGTCGTTAAATGGATACTGAAAAAAATTTTTGCCGCAAGTATTTTCAGCCACATCGATAAATTTGATCCTGAAATCGATGGAGACAACCTTCGTTTCAAGCAGAAACTCAGGGAACATAATGAATTTAAGTTGCCTAGCGGCAGCGCCGTTCCCTAGAGAAAGTGACGTTTGGTGGCTAGACTCACTTGAAACTGGCAAGCCAAGAATGCCAGCCATCACCCGCGTTTCTCGACTCGCTCACCTTCCACTTCAGTTCCCAGAACTGGTATGAACAGCAACAGCAGCGAACAACGCTTCCGGCTGGGGCTAAGCACCAGTGATTTTGTGGAAGGGAAAGAGTGGGATGAAAGGAAAGGTGGAGAAAATGAAGAGGACAAGAACATGCGCATCCTGCATGCGTCTCAGTGAGTTTGTCGTCACGGCTCACGCTCGCGAGCAGCCGCCGCGCGCTGACAATCCATCACATACAACCAACTGTTCAAAAATAAGAGAAATAAACTTCATTTATCGAAACAGTGGCATCTCTAAGTTGAATTTCAAAGTTTCGTCAGTTTTCTCAATTTTTGTTCAGTATCCCTTTAGGACAACGCCCGGTTTGTTCTATGTAACATCTTCCACAAGAAAGGGGTGTCTCATACACAACACCCATCTCGCAAGGCACGAAGAGTGTCGCATGATTTTTTGTGCACGCAGTTTTGCCTTTACGACAATTCACCGCTGGGCACATGCAATTTGGCCCGCATGTGACTGGTGATGAATTGTCGCAAAGGCAAAACTGCATGCACAAAAAAGCAATCAACACTGTTCGTGCCTTGCGAAACGAGTGTCGTGTATGAGATACCCCTTTTATGTAGCAGATGCTACATAGGACAAACCAGGCACTGTCTTAATGACAGGTTGCGAGAACACCGTTTGGCAGTTGACATGCAGGCAGGGGGGTCATTTGGCAAATCATTGCCGCAGGTGTGGTTGTGCTCCTGATTTCGCCAATACACGGGTGCTTAGAAAAGGCAAGGTTAAGGCAAAGCGAGAAATTATAGAAGCGTTTGCTATTAGCGAGAATGAAAGAAAATGTGTCGGAGTAGCATCGGTTGTCTTATCCAGCAAAAAGATTATTGGATAGTAAATCTTGCTCATGCAGGGTGGTAACGCGTGACGTTACAGACAGAAAGCACCTCAGAGTGTGATTGTGCGCATGCGTTTGTGTCCGACGGTTCTCGGCTTTTGCAATAGAAAAATCATTTGATGTCCAGTGCTCGTCCTGTTGATGTTTTTGTCTGTGTGTCTGTCTTTTTCTCTTTGGCACTACGAATATGAATGTATGTGACTGCTAGGGAGTGCTTGGTAAAGGTGAAGTGCCCCAAGTTCAAGCAGATACTCTTCTTTCCATGGCACCCACAGGTGATCTATCAGCTTCTGCTGATATATGAATTTTTTCCTGATGTCACTTCGAGCAGTTTGAGCACTTTCTAGCATTGTAGTCATCCTAGTTCTGCTCCGGAGCAGTTAGCAATGAACGTCTAACAAGAAAACGCAGCGCACATATGAGAAAGGCCTATTTGGCAATCATATACGTGTAGGTCAGCGATCTTGATTTAACAACCACTTATACCTTCAACAAGGCTTCAGTTTCTTTGCCGTTGGGCTTGCTTTGTGCTTTCGTTACAATTATCAGAAGGCAGAGAGGTCGGCCTGAGCTAGTTCACTCTAGCCTGCTACACTCTAACTGCTACACTATAACATAGCAATAACTTAAGTGTCTTAATTAGTATTTTACACCATCCACCCGAAGACGCACCAAGTGAAGTAACCTTCATCTCTGTTCGATGCATCACGTGAAATGATACAAATTGAGAGCTCTTCAAAATTTTCTGAATGTCCTGGAAATCTCTCGACACTTGTGGTAGATGTCACAGTTGTCGCACTATCGCAGTTGTCTTGAAATAGCTGTTCCTGACTTTTCATTCGAGTAATTATGGGTCTCCCATTTCTCTTAGTCATTTCTTGAAAGCTTGTGATGAACTCGTGTAAGTGGGCTTCTCTAGAATCTGTGATGCCCGTGACTTCGAAGTGTCAGAACGATTAGGGAATCTGCAAGATTGCATCATCGTCATGAGCAGTTTCTACTAGCAGAACACAGACAAGGTCAGTGTTGCCGTCAAAAGAGGCACTTTAGCGACTGGACACTTACAATATCCATCCAAGAGCTGTGTTGATTGCGACCAATCCTCGAATTTTCATACTTTCTATTACTTCTCTGTTAATTTTCTTCTACCGGTGGTCCACTCCAATCAACAAGCTGATGCTGATCTCGGTGTCCGCTTCAAGAAATGTCCTTTCATCAGCAATACCTTAGCCTTCGAAACACAACTGCTGCATGATGGGACTACTAGCTGTTGGCAGAAAAATGTCATCACAAATGGCTGGGGCATCTATTGCCTGAACGATAGGGATGCCAAACTGGTTAAATGCAACGAGTGTCTCTCTCCAAGTACCTGCAAATTCAGTTTAACAGTGATATCTTCCGTGATGAAAGAGCGCTTACTGCCATGGTCGATGCCTATTACTAAGAACAGCTTTTTTAGTTCCGTTTCAGAGGCTGCAGCTGCTAGTGCTGGGTCTGAGGCGGTGTAACACTCATGTCATGTTAATCTTGCCGTGCTCTGCTTGGGTGTACTCCAGAATGATCTAGTACAGCAAAGGCTTTTGTAGAATATTGATCAGCATCTCAGAAAAATGACCTTTGGTACATTTGGGGCTGAAGGACATGGGATGTTAAGCTCCTTCGCGTCGTAAAGTCGCCTGATGTCTCAGATGTCGCTTTTTGACTTCGGGGGGTGGGGGAGAAAATTGCTAAGTGATGACAGGTGGGGCTGCTTCATCTATTGTCGATCTCTGAAGGGTTCTTTCAGTAACTCGATGATGTCTGCAAAACTGGCTTCAAAAAGTCTGAAAACCAGATGTCACGATTGTCGCTTCACCCACAATATAATGACGTAAATAAAAGAACTTCATCAGCTTTCATAGAGCGTAGTTGAGTAGTCTGCTGGCATTGCTCCCAGAAAGCTGACCACTCCTGAATATCCCCTCCAAATGTTGGTAAGTCAAGGTTTGGCAGTCTTGGGCCAATTCTGCTTGAAGCATTAAGAACTGTTGCTGTCACTGTTCTGAGGAGCAGTCACGGCAGTACCATTCACGGCGTCTCAAAACAGGCAGTTTTGCAGTGCATCTCTGCAAACATGCTGATAATTTGGTTGTTATAGTCTGCCGCTGTTGCATTCTCCACTTCGAGCCTCTCGTCAGATAGGTGCTCTTGGAGCGCATCATTCATCTTCGGAGAGCTCACTGTTGCTAGCCAATAAACAGTCATAAATACCCGTCAGCTAGAGCTTGTTCGCGATAATATTGGTCAGCAGAGACTGTGCTTCCTGTATGAAGCTTAGTATTTTGGGCTTCTTGAGCTGAGGCCCTTGGTTTTAAGTCGATCGATCGTATCCGGTGTTGAGAGTCATGCAGGTCTCGCGAATGATCTCTTGTCAGTCCTCACAACGGAATGCGGTCGAGTAAAGGGGTTTCTTGGAGTCGTACGTCGGAGGCGTGTCCACACAAGGGTTTTTGGCACCAAAATGTAACAAAAACTAGCGATCAGTAAATGGAACCAGACCGAATGCCGTTCATTGTCCCAACTTCTTATTCTACTGCACGGCTCACCTTCATGCGTTTATATCTTCCTCTTTTTCTACAGTCAGTATTTAGAGGAATCTGGCGTTTTGAAATAAGCTCTAGGATTATGGAAATTTGACTGTTTATTGTCTAACACCTTGTGGTTGGTGCAGCGCAATGTTAGTTGCTATCACATCATAAAACACGATTTTCATGAGGAAATGAACATACCTTTTTATTTAGCTAGTAAGGTATACTGGCCCAAAAATGAAAAAAGTTCTGCTCTCTCTAATATCTGTACCACAAAAGGCAATTAAAGGTGTGATGTGCGTATGTGCCCGCACCTTCCACTCAATAGAGAGAATGGGCTTCGTTTGCTCTGCTCACTAGCTGCCTTGCTTGGCTTAAAAAATGATGCTATGCAAGCCTTTCATCTTGACACTTGAGAGCAGGGTTACCTCAAATTCCTTCCTTCCAAGAGCACTGCTGGCACATGCAAGAAATGTATATGTGTACATTTGCTTCACCTTTTTGCCAATTGTGCCGCTAATCTGAAATGCTGGAAAACAGATTAGGATTTATGCAGTGTATAGAAACTTTTTTACCATGATGTCTTGAAATGTGTTGTCAAAATTTAAGCAGATAATTTACCTTGTAAATACTGGCAAAATTTTCAAGTTTATCTGTGTACATGAAGCATCTAGTAACTTGACACTGTTAATTGCATCTTGATATATCATTGCACTTTTAATTATTTTGGCCCAAGTTAGTTTGAATACACTACACATTTTTATAAAAAAAAGTATTCTAGTGTAGGATGACAATGGCATTTTTACTAACCTGGAATGTCTGCTACATGATTAGGCACTGAGGATGGTAGCCTTTGTGCTTCTGCACCGAAAAATAGGCACCACAAGTGCTTCTTTATTGCTCCTACTTCATATGCTGTTGCATTTTGTTCTTTATTTGTGAAAGTTTGATTTCTCTATTTCAGAACCTGGAAGCCTTGAACTGTGCCACTAAGTTGCCGGTGACTCATCTTGAAGTCACTGCATCAAAGGCTTCTACATCTGGAGTCATGACAACCACTGCTGTGACATCTTCAATCACCGTGCCTCCTGCTGGAAAACCCTTCCTACCACTACTTCTGCTCACACCATATCTCAGCCTAGCATGCCTAGTGGACCTGTGCCTTCAATGTGCGTGCCACCGCCTGGCATGCGTCCTGTTGGCATGCCTCATGCCAGCACACCTTCAACTAGTGCACTGCCATGTAAGGCGTCTCTTGCTAGCGTGGCCCCAGTGTGCACACCACAGCTTGGGGCGTCATTGGCAGGTCCACCTTCCGCTCTCACTGACAAGGCCCCACATCCAGTGGGCACGGCCCCGCCTCTTGTCGGTTCAGCCCCATCCCCAGCTGGCATGGCTCCACCTCCAGAGCGCATGGTCCCACCTCCTACTAGTATTGCCGCATCTCCCGATGGTGTGACCACACCTGCAACTGCCATGGCGCCACGTCCCGCTGAAATTTCTCCACCACCTAGCGACTTGTCTCCAGCTGCTACTGGCATGACTTCATCTCCTGCTGGCATAGCTTCACCCTCAGCTGGTATGAATTCACCTCAGAAGTCTATTGCCACTTTGCCTTCATTCACAATAACACCCTCTGCCATAGAGTTAATATACAAACTCTAGAGGAAACGCTAGGCTGGAAAAGCTATAGCCACCAACAAAATGCTGACATCTTAGAATGCTGTCGTAGTTGCCAAAGCGCTAAATATAGCAGCTTTAAACACTCAAATTCTCGCAGTATATATTATAAACAATTGTGTTCACGTGTTACAAATGGACAGCAATTGTGTGATGTTTATATCAACTATTTTTAGGAAAGATACAGTGGCTATTTATTCAATTTACTGCATGTGGAAAGGGGTGGTTGTAGCTTTGTTTACTAGATGGTACCATCATCCCTGTACCATACCGTTTGAGAGCGTGGTCGAGCCGCGTGCCGAGCGGCGTGCGGCCTGTTGGGCCGGCCTGCTCGCGCCGGCCTGCTCGCGCGTCGTGTGAGTCGTATCTAGTGCCTTGTTGTCTGTATTTTTTGTTGCCACGAGCCAACTCTATGTGGTTGCGATGCAACCGAGATCTGTGAAACAGAAAAAAAACTGACGGTGCATAGACTTCACCCGAATGCTGGTTATCGTTTCATCATGGCTCCACCTGAGCGGTTATAGGTTTTAATGCATGGGCCTTATGGTGAGCTTTTTCTCTAGAGTCTGTATATTAACTCGGTGCCTTCTGCTATGACACTTGCAGAATCTGCAGTAGCTTCCGCAGCAGTGGCAGCCATGGCTCCCACTTCTGCACCTCGTGGTAGCATGCAACCACCTGGCTTGTACCCAGCTGCTTGGCATCCAATCTATCCACAACTGGCCTGCACTCGTCCACCGGCTGTTGTGCCTCCAGCTATCCTGCCTGAAGGCAACAGCTTTAATGTGTGTCTTTCTGTGGTGTTCAACCCATCGGACTTCTATGGTCAGATAGTGGAGAATGTGAACCCTACAATCAAGGTAAAATCTTATTGGTTTTACGTTCCAACTTTCTGTTGTTGCACACTGAATTCTTGAAGATTTTTGTGGTGCCCTGGACAAATAGGCTGTGCAGCATGTGCAAAAAGTGCAAGGCACTGGCGTGCAGAGGCTCTGAGGAGGGTTTGAGAGAATGCATTGTTCAAACCTACATTGTTCATCGGTTTGCAAAACACCTGGCCGCGCTCGGAACCTGTACCAGCCTGGGCCCGAAAGGTTCAGCTGCGGCCCGACCAGGCCCTGCTGATTTCAGCCAAATATGCCTGGAGCATAAACGAGGCACTGTCGGATATTTGGTAACTGTGACGATACTTGCCGCAAAGAAGATATTTCCTGGACTGTCTTGAGAACTTCTTTGAGTGTCTGAATTCATCTGGGATATTTTGTGTACTTTCGGGTAATTATGCCCGTAACACTTCCGGGAAATAATGGCAGGGTAATTAAAATGTAATTAAGCTGTATTATGTACGCAGTGCACCACAAAATCTGTTTTTTCTTCATTTCTGAAAATGACTACAAAATATACTGTAATTACTCGAATCTAACGCACACCTTTTTCTGGTTAAGCGAGTTCATAAATCGCATGCGCGTTAGAATCGAGTACGAACAAAAAAATTACGGTCAATCTATTGCCATCACAAATCCAAAATGGCCGCCCCCTACGTGCGTCGGCATGGTGCGTCGGCTATTTCTGCCTATGTGTTTACCATGTGCGGCACTTCGTACGTGTGCTGAGGAGTTCGTCATCTAGTAGTGCATTAGCATCGACGACGTGAAAGGGCCGACTCCAAAAACTCGAGTGCACCACGATGCCGCTTTTAAAAGAAAAGTCATCGCGTGGGCATAAACGGACGGAAATCGGGCCGCATCGCGGTCGTTCCCGAAACGTGCGTGCGGGACCGGCGGAAACAAAAGCAGAAGATTGTTGACAGCAAAGCTTCACGCAAAGGCTTCAGTGAACCACAGCAGGGTCGGTTTTCGCAAATTAAAGAGCTGCTCCGCCAGTATGTGCTTGAGGAGCGAGCGGCACAGCGGCCCGTGACGACAGAACTGCTCCAAGTGCGGGCTATGCAATTAGTCTTAGAAAAAAGTCTAATGCGGAGCCAGTTTAAAGCGAGCAGGTGCTGGCTAATTAACTATATGAAGAGGAAAGGCTCTTCCCTCCGAAGGGGAACATGCATATGCGAAAACTTTTGCAGAGAAGTACGATGAAAAGCTTTACAGTTTTCAGAGGTTCGTCCTAAACTTGCGGCGCAACAACGGCTACCTGCTTGGGCAAATCTGGAATGCCGATCAGACGCCTCTTTACTTCGACATGCCTGGCACCACAACTGTCGAGAAGAAGGGGGCGAAGCAAGTTCGCGTGCTGACATCGGTCTACGGTAAAACTACAGTGACGGCAATGCTCTGTTACACGTCAGATGGGCACAAGCTTCGCCCGTACCTCATATTTAAATGGAAGACAATCCCGAAAGGAATCGTTTTTTCGAGTGGTGTGATCGTGCGGGCCAGCGAAAAAAATTGGGTGCGCGTTGCAATCGATGTCTTACGTTTTTTTTTTTTTTTCACGGTGGAAATCGGGTGCACGTTACAATCGAGGGCGCGGTAGAATCAAGTAAATACGGTACTACACCCATAAATTGGAAAAAATCGCAGACACCTATAGCTTGAGTCTACATGATTTGCATGGAAGCCGGGTTCGTCGAGTAAATGTAACAAGTCTCCTGCAAACGTAATTTATTACGCTGTGCAATTAAAAAAAGCACGCTTTACATAATTCTGAGAGGACTACCAGGAGGTGGAAACTTCTTATACCTCCCATGTATTCACTCTCTGCAGCGGCAGAGCCGCTTTAACCACTGGCGGTTGCCGGGTAGCCTACTAGAAATAAATGATGAACAGAATATTTTTTCGTCATGTTACTGGTAAGAGCCCCAAATAGAGCGAAAGGACGAACAATTGCGAGGAGGAGGGTTGCCGAGGAAGTCCTATTTTCTCACTTCGCGTGCATGCGCAATGCGCTCGTGCCTTTTTTCAGGTCCACTGGCGGCTTGGCCAATGTGTCCATAAAATTTTGTTAATCTTTCTTTTTAATTTTTTTTTGTGTTTTCTGAAGAGGAAAAAGTTACGCTGACTGATTTCTCAGTAAGATGAAACTCGTTCAGCACACACAAAATGAACTTTTTTCATTGCACCTTTGTATAAAAATAAATACACACTTAGTGTGAAAGTGTCGATCTATAAAAGTAGCTTCAATTTACAACTGACATACGGACGTAATGAGCGAAAGTTGAACCCAGAATACCCGAACTGAGAAAAGTACGTATCGACAGTAGTGACTGCTACAAGTCGTAGTCGGCTCAATTCATGTTTGTTATGACTGTGCGCATAGTTTCCTTGCACATATGAAGCTTGCAACACTTTACGACGCAAGCAGTTTGGTCCTCTGTAGACACTAAGGAAAGATAAACTAAGCCTGTGCAACCTATATGCATGAAATTTTTCACAGGAGTAGATGATCATGTTTCCAGCTTTGATGTGTCTTACTTATCCGTTAATATCCAGAAAACTGCAAAAATTGGGGGAACAAGTCTAAAAGGATTGAATATTCCTGAACTCCGGGTGCCGTAGAGCCGTCGCAGGTTTTTCCAGTAAAAATTGCCAATGCACCCATGCCTATACACCCCACCCCCCTGTTTCAAGGTGTACAACAGCAAATGAAAATCGTGATCATGAAATTTCTTATATAGAACTCTTACTTTTCCCGCGGGAGTGCTTCCACGTTTTTGAGCACCATGAGAACACTTGCGCTTCGACATATGAGGACACTTATGAATTACTGTCGAATCATGGGAAAACACGGCATCCGTAAAAATAAGCAAAGACTTGTTCTATATGATGGACATTCCAGTTAAATCCTTAAAATTTTTACTAATTGTCACGTGTTAAAAATTTGCAACTGCCTTGCTATCACAAAAAATTGGGAACATTTCAGTCGATTGGCAGGCCCGCCATAAGTGTCACTTCTCGACTCGCAGTTAAAGTGCACCAAAAACTGCTCCTGAGTAATTTACGACTCACGAGTCTCGTAGTACACAGGCGCTCAAGGCTTGGCAAGCATGCCTGTGTGTCTGCATACTCGAATTTTTTTCCCTATTATATTTGCTATTATAACATTTGCAGTGTACCGTTTCTGTTACAGCAGTACCACCTGGCAAATTTTTTCTTACGGTATGCAAATAATAGCGAAAACATATATTACGTGTTTCTTGAAAAAACGTGTAGCATACCGATGGAGCCAAAGGCCAGATGTTACGTATTTTCTGATTTCAGTGGATGCTAATGCATTCCAGCTGGTCTAAATTAGCCGAAGCCCCCAGCTACGGCATCTTATGTAACCTGGGCTGCTTTGGGATTTTAAACCCCACAAAACAACTAAGCCAAGCAGCGTAGACACGCCATGATATTGATATACAGAGTGTTTCAAGAAATGTGTCCAATATTATTTGAAAACTACAAAAAGGAGGCATCTGCGTTCTACCTGCGGTATTCTTTTTACTTTGGCAGAATGCATTTTCAGATGTGTAAAAGCAATAATAGTGGTAGTAAGTATAGAAATTATTACAGTTAACTTTTAACCAGTCGAGATGGTTGGTCGAGTCAAATGGGCAACCTAAAGTTCTTTCTACGACTAGTGTATATAACCATTTTGAATTTTCGGAAAGGCAGCAAATGGTAATCACCGCTGAGCAATGAAATCTGGCTAATTTTGCTGGCGAAATCCAAACCGTCGCAGCAAACAGCGCATACAGTTGATCCCGGATATATCCAACTTGAAGGGGATCGCGAAATAGTTCAATATATCGATAATTCAAAATATAAAGTATGTCCATGTAAGGGCTACTTTGAAGCGCTGCGTGTCTCGGAGCGGTTTCTAAAGACTGTGCTAAGCTTCCGCTTGCCGACTTTCCCAGAGTATGAAAAGAAAAACACGAAATCCACCGCACTTTATTTGGGGAAAAAAAAAGTCTATGAGCTTGGCTTGCTTCTTTGTCTGAGCCATTAAATTCATGAGGCCATCCTTACTATTGTTGAAACTTTCCACATAGGCAAGCCCAGCGCCTTCTGCAGCGCCACAACAGCGGCGAATAAGGCTAAATGCCAACGCAAGCTCTGCAGCGGTACAGGGTTGCATTGAGGTGCCCTCGGCATCATTGTCGCTGCTCTGGTCGGCCTCATCGGCATCAGCGACGTCGGCCACGATTTCTGCAACTGTGCAGCCCAAAACGGCTTGCTCATCATCATCAGCGCTGAGAAAATCGCTCACTGTGGTCTTATCAGCGATGGCACCCGGAAACGCAGAAAGCTGGCGAAATTCATCTTCGAGGCACTCTATGTTGTCGTCTGCTGTAACATCGCCGTCGCTCCCAAGGTCGTCAAGTTTTGGTTTGCATTGGTTTGGTTTGCTTTAATTAAAGCGAAATTGAACAAGATTGCCTTGGGGGACACGACTAAAGGCTAAGTAAATGCCTGACTTGGTCGTGCCACTCTGGCAGCAAAGCAGAAACATACCGCAAGTACAGTATGCAGAAACTTGCACCATCACGTGTTATCTTACATGGGTACCATAGTCGAACAGGAACTGCCAGAAGTGTGAGTAAAAGAATAGAAATATAAACAGTCCTTATTCGAGTGGTGGCAAATACAAACAAATGCATTTTTTCTATCAAATAAATTAACAAGAGGCATCTTGACTTGGAAATCGCATTGCTCTACAAGACAAATTAGAGTATAATAAACAACAGGCAAAGGGACAATAATGAACAAGGTGCAACGAATACAAAAACATCATTGACTACCAATTTCAAAAATCAAGAAAAGCATCGCTTTCAGACACTGTTTCGTTATTTTTTTAAATGATCTAGCTGAAATTCCGTCTTCCAGTAAATGTAATATAGTTGGGTGTTTGTTTAGAATGTTTG